ATAATTTTCGGAAAAGACACTGTCAGCGATTGGATTCACAGCGTAACAAAAACTTACGGTGATGGAACTTTTAGTCTAACACCACATCTTTTCTCCCAGTTTTTTGTGATTATGGCCGAACTTGGAGGTTTAGTACTGCCAATCATTTATGCCCTCTTACCCGACAAGGCGAAAAAAAAACATATACACTCATGATTGAAAGGATTCAAGACAACTGGCCACTTTTTAAGCCGAAAAAAATTTCTTTAGATTTTGAAATTGCCTTAATTAACACCTTTTCAAGCAAATTTCCAAACACAGAAATTCAAGGGTGCTTGTTTCACCTTGTGAAAAATATGAAGCGCAAATTAGCAGAATTCCGTTTAATGCAACAATATACAGTCAAAAGTCTTTAATCCGGACTCGTCGGGATTTCGGCGATTCCGGATTATCGGTTTTTTCCGGATTATAGATCATTAATTTAAAACTGGTAAGATGGCATGCAGAAATTATAAAATTAAAATATGAAACCTTAATTTATGAAATAAAGAGCAATTATGATCTAAAGGGTATCAAAAGTTACAAAAAAAGCTTAATATTTATTTGTTAAACATTTCTTTCAACGCGCGCTTGCGTAAAGCATACATAACGCATAGTCAAAATTAGAAACTTGCAACCAAAAAACTATTTGATGTGTATTAGTGATATTTATAATGACGAGGAATTTGATTTAAATCATATCAAAGACGGAGTACATCGAGATGAAATACTACATTTAGTAAAGAATTATAAGCCGAATATAATAAAACCATCTGCCCTGAAGATAAGGATAGTGCTGACAGATCAACTTCCATTTCATTGCGCGCCGCAATGTCCCACCCCCGCAAAGCAGCGTGAAATTGATAAACAGATTTCGGAATGGTTAGAGAAAAAAAGGATATGCCTTTATCCATTTTTTGCAGCAATTCCACTTTTTGTTTGATGGACATCGAAACGTACTTTCGCTTTGTCGATAGATCCTTTGGCAGCTCCAGAATCGGAAATTCTATTTGGCATAATCGAAAGTTCAAGCTTTCTTTTATAAAATTGCTCTAACAGTCTGCAAAAAATAATAAGCCGGATCCAATTCGAAGATTAAGGAACAACACAATCTGCAACATTAACTGAAATAGATAATTAGATAATTTTAGCTTACCTTATACCGTCCGTTATACATTAAACGCGCGTGCGTAAACATCTATGCGCATGCGTGAACGCATTATGCGTTGACGCATTCTCAGAAAGTTGGTAGCTTTTGAGGTCCGGATTGTAGATCATTCTGATTTATGGGTGTCCGTATTAACGACTTTTAACTGTAATACCGATGTTGATTTTGCTATCTATGTACGTATGATTCCTACGTTAAGTTTTGTGCCTATCGAAAAATTTGAAAATGCTTTAGAAGTTTTGAGTGAGAATTTCCCTAATGAGTTAACCCCAATTTTAGATTACTTTGTAGATTATTACGTTGGAAGGATTTAGAGAAATAATCGTCGCCGTCGTCCTACTTTTAAACCAGAAATGTGGTTATATTATGCTAAAACCTTAAATAACGAAGAACGCACCAATAATTTCGAGGAAGCAGCGCACAGGCGTCTACAGTCCGAATTTGGTGTTTCACACCCCACACTATGGAAATTCATAGATGGTCTCAGACGTGTTCAAAAATCAATTGATCAATGTTATGAACAATTTGTACGTGGAGATGAACCGCCGCATAAGCGGAATAGGTATCTGCGAGCTGATATGAGAATTAAAGTAATAGTTGAAAATCGAGAGATAATGGAATACCTGAAAGGTATGGTGCATAATTTTGCAATGGATTAGTATAATAACAGTTCTGTGATGTAATCTTATTCATCTCTAATCTTATTTATGTGTAATCTTATTTATCTGTAATTATATTTGTCTGCAATATAACTTCTTTGTAACCATATGTTTATTTACCATTTCTGTATTGTGCCTTTTTGGTGCTGTTTTCTGAAATAAATAAAAAAACCTCCTTCATGTCCCGGGGCCTTGACGTTGGCGAGGGGGCTTCTCACTAATCTGGGACTCACAAAAAATCTATAACACTTTTACACATATACACACATATAATTTATTTCAAATATGCATGCAAACAATCGCTAATTCAATAAATAAAAATCAGCCATATTACTTATTTATATTAATTCATATTTATTCTAAAAATAAATAAAAATACGAAAAAAAATATGGCGTCGAACTGCCTCCGCGTCGAAACGTACGGCGTCGAACTGCCATGTCGTCGAAACGTTGGCGTCGAAACGACCTTCTTCTTCTTCTATACGAGCGACTTTTCCTTAGAATGACCTCCATGAGGGCATTCCTTCCTTTAGGCAGATAACCCTCGAGTGCTTTGCCATAATCAAATAAAGCAAGCCCTTAAAAGTTCCTCCACGAAGGTATCCCTCCCCTTAGGCAGATATTCCTAATTTGCTTTGCCATAATAAACTAAACTAAACCAAGTCAATTTTTTTTTTAAAATAAAAAATGTAATAAGCTTTGAAAGTATTTTAATGACACTGAGATGTATTTTTTGATTCGATAACATATATTTCACGAAGAAATTTATTAGAAGGGATATAATGAAAAATTAAAAACATGGGCAATTCGTGAGATTAGTGTTTCAATATATGGCTAAATAACACTGAAGAATTATGTCGGAAAACAGATCGTTTAAAAAGGACACTGAAACGAAAACTTCAATGAAAAAGCAGGAATGGATGAAATTTATGATAAAATCCCTGCTGAAGATTACAGATCTAACGATAAAATAATATCGAAGGACTATAGACATATTCCAGTAATATATGATCATATCGAATGAATTAAATACAATCATATAATGTTGGATATTTTTACTTTTCTTTTTAGTGTCTCCAGGAATACAAAATCGTAATGAGAACATGAATTCATGGAATAGAAATTCTACAAGAATTCATGCTTTCATGTTAATATTAGTCTACCTGTGGTAAATCAGATAAGATTACTAAACACTAGTAGTCCGGCTTGGTCTCAAATTATGCTGAACGGATTGACTCTATGAGTGTGTACAGACATTTTGTATTTTTTGGAAGCAGGCAAGATAAAAAATATGCGACGCCTTCGCCGGGAATCGAACCACGGACCTCTGGAATACGCGCCCAGCTTGAGACCGCTACACCAAGAAGGCGAGAGAAATCCCTTATATAAACCCCCTTTTAAAGGGCGACTAGCGATTTTAGGGGACCCAGTCACCAAATCCTGGGTGTGGAGAGTCATCATCCATCACCCTTTTAATTCGGGCGCCCCTGTAGAAACATTAGTTATTTTTTGGAAGCAGGCAAGATAAAAACATGCAACGTCTTCGCAGGGAATCGAATCACCGGCCCCTCTGGAATACGACCCAGCATGCAGACCACCCCACCATGAAGGCATGCCAATAAAAAAAAAGGCGGAGGACATACCTTACAAGTGTATTTCTTTGTGGTATATGAATGCGAGCCAAGGCAGATAGCCTTTTTTTGCAGTCAAGATGCAGATAGCTAGCTGTCTTGGCGTATTCAATTAAATAGAGAAAAACAATCAACCATATTAATACTTTGTTACTGTTGGGAAATTTGCATTCCTCCTTTACAGCTGCGCTGAGCCGAAAAGTATATAACCCCACGGTAATGTGAGTGAATACTGTGTACCATCCCGATGTGCCTTATCGATGTGGCCAACAGCCGTGATTCATTCCAGCATGTTGTGATGATTTCAAGGCATAGAAACCTATACAGGGTGTTTCAAAAGATCGTTGACAAACTTAACTTGACATGACAAACAAGATTTACATAGGAACTTGGTCCAAAAATGCGAACGGCGCTGCTAAAGGGCAGCGTTCGGTAGTATATTGGAGAATGGGAAGTGTGATCATGTCAGGCGAGGACGCTGCAAGAAAAGGATGAATTGGTTTACTAACTCAGTTCTTTGTGTTTATTTTGCTGAAGGAGTACTGCCGGATCTGATGGCGACGTTCCAACATCTAGTTTCAGTATGATGGAGCGCCTACACATTTTTAGCAGCACTGTGCGAGATTAGCTCGATGGGACATATCCTGATCCCTGGATTCGCAGAGGCGGATCAGTCGAATGGCCACCGAGATTTCCCGATCTGACTCCCCAGGATTTCTACCTGGGAACATACATGAAGTCTATGGTGTGGGAGATGACAGAAATATCGGGCATTGATCTCGTAGCGAGGATCGTAGCAGCTGCACCATGTCTCCATGCCCATTTTGAACGTGTCCGTGAATCCATGCGACAACGTTGTGAAGCAAGCACTTTGGCGAATGCAAGGAATTTTGAACATCTTCTATGATTTAACCATATTCTTTAATAAATGTCCTATTAATACCTCTTTCGATACCCTTTCTTTTTCCCCTCTGCGTTTGCGAACTTTGCTCTCTAGAGGTCGCCGTTCGCATTTTCGGATACAAGTTCTCTGTAAATCTTGTTTGTCATGATATCACAGACCAGCATGTTTGGCAATGATCTTTTGAGACACCATATGTAGTATATCTTAGGATCCTACACAAATATTGTTTAGTTTACCTGCAATACATAAGGATAAATATTTCTCATTTAGAAAAAGAAAAAGATGGTCGATTTGGATTTATTTGATGGACTCTGTCATGGAGGATCCAGTCTCTGACATGTTGCGTTTCTAACACTGAAGGTTTAGATTATAATTTTCTTGATTAATGCTTTTTAAAAATTGGGTACATTGAATGTTAATATTCTAACATTGAAGGTTTAGATTATACTTTTTTAATTAATGCTTTTTAAAAATTGGATGCATTGAAGGTTAAGATTCTAACATTGAAGGTTTAGATTATAATTTTCTTAATTAATGCTTTTTAAAAATTGGGTACATTGAAGGTTTAGATTATAATTTTCTTAATTAATGCTTTTTGAAAATTGGAATTTATTCCACAGGTACAAAGATATCAATTTAACACTTCTCGAGGAAGACCTCAATGTCACCCGAAGTAATGAAATTGTCAAGTGTGATGCTTGGGAATATGATGAAACGTTTTACACTTCCACTGTTCTCAGCCAGGTAAGGAAATTTCTTTTAGAATCCTACATGAAGTTGAACTTTTGAACTGCTCAAAACTAAGAATGTAAACTTATAACATTATATGCCACTTGAAACTATTTTTTCGCTCTCTGTTCATTGATTTCTACTATCTTGATACTTGCTGTTGCATCTTAATTACTGAGTTAACAATCTCAGTGTTTCAAAATTCTGTTTATTTGGTTAGTTGATTCCTTTGCTGTTTGGAAATATGCTAAATTATTTTTTATTCGTTCATTTGGGTAAATTTAAATGTATTTCTTTCAGTGGGATTTGGTATGCGATAAAGAATGGCTGGTTTCAATGTCCAAATCTGTCTTCATGGGAGGCATTTTGATGTCCGTTATTTTGTTTGGCCATTTAGCTGACAAGTGAGTATTTTTTAATCATTTTAATCCTTTGATTGCTCTTAGCAAGTGCCAAATAATCAATCACACTTTAGTTAGACACTTCACATTATGCATTAAACTTTTAAGAAAGTATTTTAGGTTTTTGTCAGTATCTCTCAAATTGTGCTGAACAAGTCTTCAAATGTTAAGCATTTATTATATTTTACTGCCATTTATTGCTACCTATGCTTTGTATAAAATCGTCAGGACATATCTTTACTTCAATGGAAGAAAGAACGCGTCGACGTAAGAAATTGTTGCTTTATTACTAGCCACGGGATATCTGTAATACGTTTGGTATTGTATTTTTGCGTGAATGCACACAGGTCCGTTGATAGGTTAATAACATTTATTTTATCAAAAGAAACACTTCAGAGTTCTGGAACTTTCCTCGCAAATAGTCGTACAGCTCTTAACGTTATCACAGAGTGCAATCACTAGTTACACTTCAAACAACTATAAACGTTAAACACAGCACAGCTAAAGAGAAAGCTACCCGGAGATATCTCAGTACTCGGATCTCACGCTGCGCTAACAGCAACTGAGAACAAAAGCTCTCATATGGTTTTCACCCATCTCCGAGATATTTCTAGTACTTTCTGCTTCTTGAAATTACTGGAAGGGAATATGAGGTTCGAATTACGGTTACAGCTAATACAGTAATCAATTACAATACTTATATGCGGTGACAGAGGGGCGAGATTCAAATGTCGCCAAATGGTAGCCAAATTTGGTGATGAAAACTAGTCGCCGAAACCGGTGCCAACTTGGTGCTATCTCGTCTAATTACTGAGATCCCATTTAGCCAAATTTGGCGACGAAAATTGGTCGCCGAAACCGGTGCTATCTCGCCAAATTACCGAGATACCCATTTACTCAATGTTAAACACACTTGCCCCGATATTCTTACCTTTGCTGCATAGCTTCTTTCTCCCGATTTTTCATGTTACATTGCACTGAAAAACAGAAAAATTTCACATTATAATTGCACTAAAATTACCTACCTGTGTACAAAATTCGTAACAGTGTATTATACTCTAAAATATGCTTGAAAGTGTATTATACAGTTATTAATTCAGTAGCAAATACACATTAAATAGCTTACTGCCACAAAAGTATATTTCATGTATCTCAGAGGCAATAAATATGCTTGTTAATAAAATTTCTGCTTTTAAAAACTGTTTTCGTTGTTAGCAATAAATATTAGAAATGTAGCTGATTATCAAAATCGTAAAAACAACCTTAAATACAAGGTTGTTTTTACGATTTTACGTTTTTAGGAAAAAGTAACTTTGAAAGGGTTACTTATTACTACGCATTGGTTGCAGTTGAACATAACCGTTTTTATGCATGTTCACCTTAGCTACTTAGGAACTTCACCTTAGCTAAAGGATTAATAGTCAAATTTCATGAAGAAATAATTTCAGAAATGCAAAATGTTTGTTTCTACGAGTACTAAACAAATATAGTATTTTCAGTTTCTTATGCAAAGCAAAGGAAGTAGTGTAATTGCGAAAAATTTCGGGTATCAACAGAAAGTATCCATTTCGACCTTTCCCGAATGTGACGTCTTATATGTACATACGTACGTATGTGTATATGTAAGATTAAAAATATGTAAATCAGCTTTATATTTTAATTTAGTAATAGCCTCTTAATTCCTCCTTTTTAATTTGGGTATTTCCTGTCTGTATTCTAAAAGTAGTAATAACTTTTCTGAACTGCGCCTTTTCTAGATTAATATATGTCACATAACGCTGTTGATGTAGCTAATTCGGAACTTGAAGTCAATATTTTAAGAGGGGGAAACCTTTCTAACCTAAACCAAAACCTTCTGTGGGTGAGCTTCCATGCTGGATAATTGCACACTTCAGCTTCAGTGCCACTTGGATGCTATTTCGCTGAGCTCTCTTTCTCTCTGAACAGTATAAAAAAAATTAATATTCTGGAAATAGGCAGGATTAGAGTGCCAAGAGAATTGTACCCCAAATATCAATTGAAATAAAAAGGAATATTTAATCTTACTTGGCTGCCATGTTTAGTAGTCAATACGGATTCAATATTTTAGCATTCTGTGCAATCAGAAATCTTCCTCTTCATTATGGAACCACATTCTACGGCCTTTACGTGCTGCACCACCTGTATTTCAGCGTTTCTACGGCTTAGTGTTCCTACTTCAGTACTTCTAAATTTGGTTTCATTACATATATATATATATATCGCCTAACTGAAAAACGATTAGCCATAGAACGTTGAAATTTTGTACATAGGATTACTATAACATCTAGTAGAACACACACTTGCCTTTTTTATTGCAATCGGCAGCATCAAAATATATGTATATATAGAGATATATATTTTGAATTTAACAAATAGTCTCTATTCGTAAAAAAACTAATATAAATTTTAAATTTAATATTATATACAGTACAAAGTCTTTAACCCGGACGTCCATAATCCGGAATAATCTATAATCCGGACCTGAAAGCTACAAACTTTATGCGCATGCGTATAATATGTTTACGCATGCGCGTTTAATGCGCGCGTCCGCTACGCATGCGCGTAAAGAGAAGAGAGACAGTTTATAGAACAGAGAATTAAAGAGAAAGTATTAGCACAAAAAACGAAGCAACTTAAATAACTAACATTGAAAGAAATGTTTAATAAAGTAAACAAATAAATATTAAGCTTTTTTTTTTTTTTTTTTGTAAATTTTGAGACCCTTTAGATCATAATTGCTCTTTATTTCATAAATTAAGGTTTCATATTTTAATTGTATAATTTCTGCATGCCATCTTACAAGATTTAAATTGATGATCTATAATCCGGAAAAACTCCTAATCCGGAATCGCCGAAGTCCCGGCGCGTCCGGATTACGGACTTTGCACTGTAGATTATATATTATATATACAAACTTAAAGCATCTAAAATTAATCTCCATTTTAATTTTTATTATCTGGTATATATTTTCCCTTTTTGCGTTTTTGTTTTCTAGTTTGTACTACTATGATCATTTTTATTTTGAAATGTTTTAATTTTATGTTTAACCCCTTTACAAGGATGCAATTATTAATACTGTTAAGGAATAACCTTGCTTGGACTCCAATTTACTTTTAACTTTAGATGCTTTAAGTTTATTTTATTTCAATCCTGCAGCTGGACGGGTTAAAAATTGGCTTTTCATTTTAGCCTCTTATTAAGTTTCTTTATGTATATACACGTAGACCCATCCACTCCTTATCCATCTGGAAAGCCCTTATCCGACCTATATTTTTGCAATTGAAAATTTCGTAAAGATGGACTAGATTAAAAAAAAAAAAAGCGTTCTATAGCTGCATTTCCAAAAAATTTCGTTTGTTCAAAAGATGTCGCGAGTGAAAAGGTATGAAAATGTCTAAGCTGCGTTAACTCATATTTCACTCAGGTTATGATTAAGCAAATTTTGATTTGAATGAGATGCGATTTTTCGATTATCTGGATTAATGTCTCATACATGAAATGAGCTCCAGCCATTTTCTTTTACAGATTAGGAAGAAGACCAGCCATTGCCGCTTGTGCCTTTATTGCTGTATCCTCAGCTGTTATTTGCGCATTTTCAACATCATTCATCATGTTTGCCGCATCTAGATTCTTTATTGCCCTTGGAATTGCTGGAGTTTTCAACACGGCGTTTGTCTTACGTGAGTAGATGTTTTGGAAAATACTTTTTTCAGTTTAGAAAAGATTTTTAGATAGTTATTTCGCTTGGTTTGTAAAAGAAGTATGAACCTTGACGGTACGCCCTCTCTTACTCTTACTGCAGTTATATTCCTAGTAGATATTAAACCCATAAATGAATTACCAAGTGTGCTTGGATAGTTACTTAGCACCATATTGAGATTAAAATGATGTTTCATAAAATCAAATGCTTTTTCATTTCGTCTGACGTCTCCATTAAAATCTCTCATCATAATATTAGAAACATCTGTATCTACGTAAAACTCTTCATCGATCAGTAAAGTAGTTTCAGAATATTTCATCAATGCACTAAACCAGAACATCTTCAAATCTCTTAAATTAACAGATGAATATATACGGACGCTAGAATAAATCTTGACCGCCCATTAACAATTCGTCAACCATGCAAATATCACCTGCTTCTGAATCATGTATTCTTTTACGCTGTGTAACAGTAAATTCGGTTGGTACACTGTCTGCTAGGTTAGTCAAATTTCTATAAATCGCAACACTGCTAGCTTGGCGAAACAAAATAAAATACAACATACACCATTCCGAACACATTTTGACCGTCTAACCATACGGCTTGCCACTCACACGATGTCGCGCATGCGCACGGAGCTTTGACTACATCCTATATTCTTACTTTCCCTGCAAAGCATCCCCACTTCAGGTTTTCACGTCACATTATACAGAAAAATACAACAATTTCACTTATAATTTCACTAAAATTATTTATATATATACAAAGTTCGTAACACAGTTATTTAACGAATATGTTAAAACCCAAAATATTTTGTATTTTGAATAATGTTATGATACATGCAAGATGTTAACCGTAAATAAGTTGGTAGAAAACGCAACATAAAAAATATTGCGTTCTTTAAGAAATTTTGCATTGCATCTTTTTTCGTACAGGAATCCTGAAGTTTTTCGAATCTGTACCAGCAGGTATTCTTAAGATTCTTAAGAAGAGATTCTTTTGTATTTCTCTAGTACTTGATATAATAATAATACAAGGAAAAGAAAAATAAAACATTTCTTAATATTAAAAATTTATTATTCAACTCAAATTCACAATCTGCGTTCAGTAAGAAACAGTTTTATGAATGTAGCTTTTAAACATACATATGTATTCACTAAAACAAATATAGGGATGATTCAAATGTCGCGCTCATAAAACTTTCAAATGGATGTTTCAAATTGGATACTAATGGCAAATTGTTTCAATAAATGGTACTTCTTATTGCTACACGTAATATACGACCTGAAATTTGCATTTTATACTGTTAACTTTAAAAACAGTTTGTTTGCTGAAAGACGGAAATGTGATTTTCCCAAGAAGAATAAATTTTTATGATACAGCATTACGAAAAAGCTTTTGAAGGATGAAGCCTCCACATATGTGCCCACTAACGACCGGGCGGTAAAATCGTTAACACTGTTAGTTCTGATCTGGTTTCAATTCCAGGCGAACGGGCTGGCTAAATGGGCGTTTTCGTGTTTTCCTCATGTATGACGTGTATACGAGCCAGTTTTCCTTAGAACGTTCTTCAAGAAGACATCCTTTCCTTTAGGCAGGTAATCTAATTTGCTTCGCCGTAATCAACTCATTCGTGAACTAACAAGATAATGACGTAACTGCCCGTGTCTGCAATCACGAACAAAGAGTGTAAGAAAGATGGCATCGCATTCAAATTATACTTTGCGAACTAACGCTCAATCATAAAAATTCATTCTGCTTGCTAAACTCATCTCCGTCTACACCAAACAAAATCTTGTACCAAACAAATTGTTTTCAGTGTTAAGAGCATAAACTATAACTGAAATTTCAAGTGATATATTATAGCAAACCATTTGCCCTTAATATAGATTTCAGAATCTTCGGAAAATGCACGACATTTTAACCATTCTGCATGAAAAGAAATGCATAATTGAAAATCTTGAAGCCTGAATTTTTTTTTCATTCCAATTCGAAAAAATATGTTTGAATAACAGCATAAAATATTTTAAATATTTTTTTAAGGTTCAGTTTATAGGGTGTTTATAAATAAAGTTTCATTTTGAAATGGTCATAAAAGGCAAACTTCTGAACCAAGTGTTATCAAAATTGGTAATGGTGCAAAGGAGATCATGGGAATTAATTTTCCGCGAAAAAAAGTTCAAAAACTCACCATCAAGGGGAAATGGCGCTGTATGCAATATCCCTGCCTCAAGCCTACTCACGATTCTCCATCTCGTGCATTTGTCTAAGCGATGATGTGTACTCATTTTGTAAGGATCTTAAGTTTTAGTAACGTTTATTTTATTTTAAAACTGTCCTTTCTTATTTCCCACTTCCGGCTAGAATAAACGTGTGAATATGTTAATGCAAATTGTACTTGCTAACGCTTAAGTATTTAATTTGTGACTTTTTTCCAAGAACAGAGTTAGATAGAAAGAAAGTGAGCCTCCTTGCCACTGTGTTCCAAGCGAGCTTTCAATCAATTGCTGTCCGCCATTAAGGCTAGAGGTTTAGTTCTCTCGATATTTAAAACGTATTATAGTTTTCCGCAGTTTGCTCTCTTACATACGTAATAAACTAAAAGACCAACCTTAGTCATCTGTATAAAGTATTCAAAGGTAGCTCTTATTTAAATTTAGTTAGTTAGTAGTTCTTATATTTTTACGTTCAGACCACAAGTAGTTGGTCTTTGCATCCCGAAGTGCGGGAGTGTAATATCGTGAAGAATAAAAGGGTAGTTAAAGCCTTCGCATCTTAGTCATTTATTTTACAATTCCACAGAACATAGCTTTCGATAAGACTGGTAATCTATCCTGCGAACCTTTCGGTATATGCAGGGTTTAATGGAACTTCTATTTAGGATAAAATACAACCACCATACTGTACCCACTACTGGCCGAAAGATCCATTGACCTGGCCAACAAATATCCTTTTATTAATCAAAATCAAAAATACAAATCATTAAATTTACATATTTACATTAAAGTTTTACATAACAAAATATCCCATTTAGGATCACAAAACTTTAATCAATCATTTATACAACTTGTATTTCATACATAAAATAAATCATTTATACAATTTGTATTTCTTAAAATAATTGGATCATTTTCTTTAATAACAAAAATTATTTTATAATTGAAACAGAGACTAAAAATATTCTTTTCTTACAAGTTCAATAATAACAAACTATTAATTTTAGTAATAACTTATTACATTTTCAAACTAAATACAAATCCTCTGCATATTTTAATTTAATAGAACCATTAACCGATAATCAGTTCTTCTAATCAATAAATCATATTGTCTTTTTAGACATTCAGAATTTTTATCTAGACTAGAATGTCTAGAATCTAACCCAAGTATATATTTTTTGTTGGCTTCTTTACAATTTATGCATTCTGGTTCTTCCTTACAATCCCAATGGTTGTGACCTTTTCGAGCACATCTAGCACAAGTCTGACTATTTATACAATTTTTATGAAAATGGCCATATTCTTGGCACTTGAAGCACTTAACAGCATTCAAATACTCTTTAATCGATATTCGGAACCATTTCAAGTTAATTTTCCCTTGATTTATTATAGATTTGAATTTGGCAGGCTGAACTTCAGCCACCCAATGCAACTTATTAATTTTTGCTCTAATTGAAAACAAAAGTTCAAAACCTCCATTTTCAAAAATGTGATTTTGTTTAATCACCGATTCTTGAATCTCTTTCTTTTTTAAAATCAGCTTCTATATTATATAATATTATCTTTGGACTTTTCTTTTTTGGAGCCTTTGTTTCAACATCTTCTTTCAGCAATATATTTGATCTTATTTCTTCTTCTAAAATTTCAATTTCTTCTTTATTTATACATTCTATAACAATTCCTCCATTGTTAATTTTTCTTACATTTTTTATTCCAATCTTCAGCTGAGCCGGATCTATTGCTTCAACCACCTTCATTTTCACTTCTTCAGATGAAACCCCTTTCACCTTAGGGTATAACAACGCTACATCATCTTCTTTTTTCTTAAATTTATCCTTCTTTTGATTCAATTTCTTTTCAACTCTTTGTTCTTGAACAATTTCAGCAAAGGATTTTTCAATTAAAGGTTGTGGTTTCTTTATCACTTCTAATTTCCCTTTCAGGTTCTCTATTTCCAATGCTTGTGAAACAATATAACCAAATAGCACTTCTTGTGCTTAAAAGATCCTCTTACGAAGAGGTATTGTAACTCTAGAGGCATCTTCTAGACAAGTTTCTAGTTCACTAATAAGTGAACGAGCCTAATCAATAAGTTCTGATTGAACAGCAGTCTCTGTCTCTACACTTTCATCCATTTTCAACCACTCTATGTGGAGTTTGGATTAGACTTACCCCCTTAGGAGGAGGAGCCCCCAGACCACAAGGTCCCAAACTCCTGGGAAGTTTTCTTCAATTAGCTTATCAAAATTTGCAAGTAAATAAAATACTTTCAATAAATAACACTTCCAATAAGAGCTAATAACTTTCCCTGGGGGACAGCTTTCTATAAGCTCACTATTCCTATTCAGGACATTTCATGTTCGCCAAGCACATAAGGAGGAATAGTAGTCCTCATAATTTCACCTAAAAACTGCTAAAAACAGCAGGTTTATTCAAGAAGGATAATAAAATCCATTACTGCGTTGCAGATTGAATGAGTTGACAGCTGGACGCGGACTTTTATACCTCCTGCTGTCATAGCACCCACCCACAGCAACACATAAACTCATCACAACGACAACAGAGATATTACATGGCAATCAACTGTCCAGATTTTGTCTGGTATTTTAGGAGAAATGTGAAAAAAATATTTGCCATCTCTTAATTTTTTTCCACCAGTGTAGATAAATCCAAGTTCAAAGTCCAACAAGTTTAAAGTGGTTGTGTACGCTGCATTATAAATAAATAATTGCTTGTTTGTTCTAAAGCAATTACGAAACTTTCAAAGAAATTTTATTATCACTGCCCAAATAGTATTTTAATTAATTGAGCATTTCTCTCCTAGTTATGGAAGTTGTTGGTCCAGACTGCAGATCATTTTATGGTCTTGCCGTAGAATTTGGCTGGTGCATTGGATTCGTCAGCCTTCCAGGTTTCGCTTATTTGCTGAGAGACTGGTTTTGGATACAAATAGCACTCACGGCGCCTTGTTTGCTGCTCCTCGCTAGTTGGTGGTAAGAAACAAATTCTGATACATTTTGATTATGGTATTTTTCTGTGAGATTTATCAAATTGTTGAGTAAAGTGTTTGAATTAGATATTTATCTTTTAACGTAAGAAGGGTTGAAAAAGAGTGTGAAGACGTAAATAATAAATTTATATTACGTTATTTAATATTGTTGCGTTCTACGGGTTTGTGTATTTGGAGTGATTTATGACAACACTTGATGAAAATTTATTTAGCCAGTATTTGTTTTATTTAGCCGGTATTACTCAGGACAATTTATATAGCCAGTATTACTCAGGACAGTTCCAAAAACACGTTTACAGTCTTCGAAAAACTACGACAAGCACGCTGAAACAATCGGCAATACAGCTTGAAAGCCATAACTGTGAAGACAGCTTCACGGCAAAACACTAAATACTGCTCCCGACTCGGTCGATCGTCCTCGAAGCACTCAAAATAAAACTCAATGATATACTTGACTATGCACTGACAATGTACTACGATATATTCCTAGTCCGCGTACAGGTAAGTTTTATATAGCTTTTAACCTGCCTTCAAAAACATTCTGGGCGAAACCGGTAAGAATTCTTTATGGAATGTTTGTTCTCCATCCGTATATGGCATATCGCCAAATGGGCGATTTCACGCCAAATCTGGCAATTCTGCTTTCCCTTGTCATTTTCTGGCAACCATGAACCCGCTTAGCCGGGAAGCTATCTTACCGCAGCGGGGCATTTCATAGCAATGTATAGGAGCAGAATAGGTTTTCACGTATAATTTATAAAAAAATATTTTGATGTTCTTAACGAATTATTTATATTAACCCGGCGGAAGTCGCACCAAGAAAAGTAACTAGAGTGGGCGCTTGGGGTATCACATACCCCAATATTTAAAATACAATAAAAATAGTATTATTTAGTTTTAAAACTTTTTTTTTTTTTTTTTTTTTTTTTTTGTTTGTTCTTGTGTATTATAAATAAGTGAATAATAATTGGGTTTCAAAAAATTATTTTTCGAAATAATCTTAGAGTTAAAATTAAGATAAATGAAAATAATAAAAAAATAAACATCATGCCTCTAAGTTGCATTGCATCTCTAATACACCATGCTTATTTTATTTCTTCCCACTTTGGACGAAATACATCCATGTGTTCTTGGCACAGAAAGTTTTCACATTTTAAACATTGCATTCACGTTCTTCTGTCCTTGCGCGAGGGCAAAAAATTTATCCCACCTTTCATACTTAGTTGTTTCGAATTTCATGTATTCGTTTTAATTCTTCGTCGAAACTTCTGCTTTTGTTTTACATGCAGTAGGTCAATTTCTTGGAAAAGTATTAATCTCTGATTCTTTGTTCAATACTTTTTTCATTAATTGTAATGCTAAGTCCTTCAGAAACAGACTTTCTGTTTGGTAGATTAGCAGTTGAATGTAATATAATTCAAGCATTTATTACAGCAACATTCAGTGCGGGAAAGAAAATTACTTTTGGCCACCTCCTTGTTTTTCCGGCAATTGAATAATTGGCTGACATTTCATCCGCCATATCCACTGCTCCTTTAGTCATATTATTAAAACATATAATTTCTGATATTTTATTTTCTTCAATACTATCATCTGTAGTATGATCGTTATATAATGTTGAAAGCATAAGAACAGTTTTTCTTTTTTTTAGGAACATCAGGACTGAATGTTTTATCTTTTTCGAAACCGAAACATTATAGAATATTCTTAGTTTCATCTTCAGTTTCCGAAATGCAATCTTCGTCGCCTTCAAATATCTATAATAAATCTCACATGTGTTGCATCTCCAGTTTATAGGGAGTCATTCTTTTTACCATAATGCAGTTAGAAATTTTTAAGAATTTAATGTCAAGTACTTTAAGAGCACTTGCGAGTAGAAATATTTATTGTTACACTCTAGAAATAAATTTCTGAACTAAATATTCAGTCAGAGAAATACTTACATACAAGAAATACGCGTGGGGTGTATCATACCCCAGTTCCAACAAAATACCGATAAATCTTTTTCTGAAACACACAGTCAAAGAAAAAGCGGTTCTGAAAGTCAACCACAACTAGAAACTCAGCTACTGAAAGCAGCACAGAATTTCAGTTTCACAAGTTAGGAATATTCTACTTTTATGTAGGGTTGGGGTAAGATAAACCCTACGCGCTTTCCCGCGGATTAAAGGCATTATTTATGTTCATAAGCAGGCGAATATCATTGAATATATTTAAAGTAGTAACTTTATTGCAAAGCGAAAATCCTCAATTTCGCGAGTTTTAGTGGTTTTTTTGTACGATTTCGCAAACAGGAGATTTTTCCAGGACTGTCGGATCTTGTATTCTATTTTTACTTTCTAGTACGAAATAAAGAACAAGTATTGTAATCACAAAAATTTCAGACATCATATTTCAACAGAAATATCCATTTTGACCATTTCCGAGCGCATTCGGACAATTTTTTGCTTGACGTCTGTACGTTCAGACAGAATAAAGGACTCTTACTTTTTTTTTCGAAAACGGATTGTAAAATGGGTTTTAAAAGGCATATTTTCGTGACTCCTCCACTTACGTAATCGTGTATATATCTCGCATAAATCAAAAGCTATTTGTCTTAGAGCGTTGAAATTTTGTATGTAGGTGTCTTATAAGATTTAGTTATGCACCTCCCTTTCTTATTGCAGTTGGCAGTGCCAAACGTATATACATATACCTACCGTCTTTACCCTGCTTATGCCCTTAGCTGGCCTTTATTTTGGCAATCGTTGGTCATAATCATCTACATCCAGTTACAGAAGTGTTATAAATGACGAAATTAACCGGGGAACTCAGTTTCAAAATCTTCAATTTTTAATGTCTTTTTTAACTTGCCTTGAGGAATTAGTGAATTAAGTTTGAATAATTCAAGGAATTAGATGAAGTGTAGCAGAAATGCACTAGTGTTTTAAATGACGATAACTGACAGTGTCATTAAAAAGAAATTTTGGACAAATAAAGAAACCTAACTTTAAATGCTGTCTTCCGATTGCTATATTTATACATAACAAATTTTTATACTCGTTGTGAAAAAGTAAAATTATAAAAAGTTTAACTACCGTGCGGCATATTTGATCGGTATATTTAATTTCAAAATTTGCAATTTTTGATGTCATTTTCAACTTGCCTTCAGAGGATTAATTAAGTTAGCATAATTCGGGATAATAAGTTTAAATGCAATGCAGCAAAAAAATTATATAATTTAATATACAGTGCAAAGAAGTCATGCGATGCCCACATCAGATCTTTTAATTTCTATTAAAACATTACTTTTACATTTAAATAATTTTTATATTATTTTCCCTTAGAATATCTTCAAAAATGCACTGCTAAATAATACTGACCCAAAATCTAAACTAGAAGGCTGAATTAACGTACGTTTTAGTGAATTTGTGGACTGACTTCTTTTCGAAGTCATTTCCAGAAATTGCATAAAACCGCCCATCGTTGTTCTGTGATTGTCGGTCGAATTTCGATGTCGAGCGATACTTTTTTAGGAAATACTGCTGAGTGAAAATAGTATTTCTTGTACAGTGTAGTGTATTCAGACGTTTTTGCATTGTATTCTTTTGTTGGTCCATTCCGGACTAATTTCGATGGAGAACTGGAGGCAATTATGAGTCGAAACAGAACAATCCAGCTCGAAAATTTTGTTATTTTTTCATACTCCCTTTCAGCCATTGAAGCGATTTCTGCACGTAATATCACGGAATCAAAGATTATTGAATCTTGCAGGACTCTTTATCTTTGCCACGAAAAGGGATGACTGTTGTCTTACACAGGATCCCGGCTCATGTTAGAATAACGGTTTTGGTTGGTTTATTTAATTACGGCTAAGCACATTAGGGTTATCTCCCTAAGGGGAGGGATGCCTTCGTGGAGGGCTTTCTAAGGGAAACTGACTCGTATACACGTTACACATGAGGAAAACCATGAAAACGCCCATGCAGCCAGCCCGTTCGCAGGATTCGAATCTCGGACCGAACTACCAGTGTTCAGCGACTTTACCGCTCGGCCGCTGGTGGGCACCTTTAGAGTAACGAGCAATGAATGGCCTGATTAACTAGCTAAACATTGAGGTGAAATTTTGCAATCAAATATTAGTGGGGTACTATTTACATCAATGAAAATAATAGTAAAAGATGCCCTGAGAAAACATTTTGATGTTAAATTACTTCATGAAATTATGTATAAGATCTGAAGGGATTCGATTCTTAATATCCCGAACTCTCCCAGATCCATCGCAGTTGCTGCGTTCCGTTTGGAGACCGGACATGATTGTCTCGTTAAGCATCTGCACTGCATTGGTATATATTGTTACGAAATGCCCAGCAGCGACAAGATAGCTTCCTCGCAAGGCGGATTAAGGGTTGCCAAAAATGGCAAGGGAAGGCAGGTATGCTGTATTTGACTAGAAATCGCCAATTTGCCAACAAATTAGCGATATGCCATAGATGGATAGAGAAGCGTGTAGAACGAATCCTTACCGGTTTGGCGCAACCCAAAAGCTATATAAACCCTGCCGCTGAGTAGCAGTCGATTGAGAGCCCATATAGTGTCTCGCGTAGTGAGTTGATCTCCAGTCTAATGTCGAGTTGGTCGTCGAGTGTATCGCGGGTTGGTGCATCGAGAGCGTGCGCCGTCCAATCTATCGAGTGTGACGTCCAGTGCATCGCGAGTTGTAGTGTGGAGAGTCTCGAGAATACGTAGAGTTCCGAGAACGACCGAACCGAGTCGGGAGCTGTACTCTGGCGTTTTGCCGTGAAGCTGTCTTCACCGCTATAGAGCGTTAGCTTAAAGGCTGTGTTGCTGGTTGTTTCAGCGTGCTTGTCGTAGTTTTGTGACGATTGTGAACGTGTTTTTGGAGCTTCCCTGTTAATATTGGCTAATAAATTGTGTTTTCATGCTTCACCAAATGTTGTCATCAATCACTCCATATCCACGAACCCGTGTAGAAACGCAACA